GTGTGTGTGTGTGTGTGTGTGTGTGTGTGTGTGTGTGTGTGTGTGTGACCGCAGCAGGGTGATGGATGCATTAGCCCCGCCGTCAGTCAGCCCCTGCGCCCTATTTGCACCGTCCTGCAGCGTTTTCTGGCACCAGCCTTTCTGCCCTCTGTCTATGGGGTGGGGTGGAGATATATCATGGAAAAGGTGCTTATGGTGCCAGAAAACGCTGAATTCGTCACCCTGCGACCACCTCAGCAGCAGAGGATAAGAGGGGGGCAGAGACGGGGGCAGAGACGGGGGCACGCTCAGCGGGGCGGCCTGGCGGGAAGCGACGGCGTGGCCGGCCCCCCTGTTTCCGGAAGGTCTGGCCCACCCTCGTAGTCTGTACTCCCCTCTGTCTTCCTGTCGATGACTGTGTCATACCACCACAGGCGGGTGAAGAGCTTCCACAAGCTTCCAAAAGCCAAGGAGGGGTTAAAGAGAGACCAGGAGTCTCTGTGGCCAAAAGGGGGCGCTGCGTGGCCAAAAGGGGGCGCTGCGTGGCCCCCATGGCAGTGACCTTGGCAAGAGTTTTATGGGCTATTTGTGCCCATCTGACCTCCACATTTCCGCCCTCTGTCTCATCTAGTGTGAAGTTTTGTCCATCCGGCTGTCGCACACCTGTGGTGTGTGTACCCCAGCAGAGACGTGCGAAATGGACGGTGTAACGGGATCCGAATATTTCGGGTCTTGAACACGCTTGTAAAGTTACTGCCTCGTGTTCTGTTGGTGGATGAAGATAGTGTCGTCTGGCGAAAGGGAAGCATTGTGAGGAAATGTTGGCAGTGTTCTGGAAAGACGGCGTCAGAATAAGCTGGAAAATCAGACCTTTTCTGCATAAAAATACCACCATGTGTCTGTTCAGGTTTAGAAAACGTGTAGAAGCAGCCGGCGTTAGGGCTGGCAGGCAGCCTCGCGCCGCTGGTGACCAGCTGACCCTTTCTATGGGCACGTCCTCCGTCGCTGAGCCGCCGGTCGTGCTGAAAACACCAGACCACACATAAAGCAAATGGAACAAATCTCTCAAGAAGGAGAAGGTTCCGGAAGGGATGGGCAGGCACACTGAGGCAGCGACTCGGTGCCGCTGCATTCTGCTGTTAATAATTCAGCACTTGAGCACATTTAGCGGTTAAAATAAGAACAGCAACGGCAAGAGGAAAAACAGAGGAGGAAAGCTGTCAGAGGCAGGAATGGGCGGGAGCTGGGGGTGGTCAGCTGACCCCATGACATCACCTCTTCCCTGGACATGTGACCCTCACACATGTGTGGGAAGATGTGTGTCTCTCTAAAGGACAGTGCGGCGATGCAGCAGCCTCCTTCTGGGGCAGGCGTTGAGGGCGGGCGGGGAAATAGGAGGCAGCTTTGAACCCCCGGGGGTGCTAGCTTGATGTTACAACAGCCCGGTTGGGATGTCTGCAGGTCATTGAGGAATTTGCTAATGGCCGTTCCCTGCCCTCTCCCCCAGCGTGCGATTTTGGTCCGGCCTGTCACATGGCCTCCTTTACAGTATTCAACGGTCTTGCCTTTGGAATCCTTGTCACATTTATATCTAGTTTGTTTTTGTTTGTAATCTCGTGTTTTTATTTATTTATGTGACTCAGATTAGCACTTCTGGAATGCGAATGAATGGATGTTATTTTTTATTTATTTATTCTATTTACGCTGGTTTTCAAGATTTTCGTTTCCTTTAAAATGTGTGATCTGCCAGATAGGTTTTATGATGCTGATCACAGAAATACCTAAACATCTCATAAGGCTTTTGAGAAACTGCCAATTCTGTTATGACTGTTATAAAATGTGTAAAAAATGGGCATTTCAAACAACACTTGTCAGCAAAAATACGAGTACGAAACGAGTAAGGGTTGTCTTTTCCGAACTTTTAAATGCAGATTTAAGAAATGTAATCAGAATTTTGCTCTCACACGTAGTTTTCAGTGATGTCATTTTTAGGCTGTATTTGTAGTATCTAATTCCTTATGAAGAATATATGGGCATATTTCAGAGTAATTTAGGGAAAATGGTTTGAATTCTATTTCTGAACATTTTTAGCACTTTACAGAAGGGCGCAGAGTACTATAAGTGTGTCTTGCCAGAGTTTACAGACTGTACCATGTTTGAACACCTTGAGACAAGTTCCTGCTCTCTCTCTCCGATATGGAAAAATGATATCAGGGCAGGTGGAGGCCCAGTGTGCTGACCCAGTGTGCTGGCCCAGTGTGCTGGCTGACCCTTAAGAGGGACGTTCCTGAGGCCAACAACAGCAGAAAATCAGACATTTCTACCTTGTAGATGAGTGACTTGCGACATACACATACACTGTATATATACGTGTAGCATGAGGTTAAAATCCTTGCCTGATAGGTCAATTCTATTCGGGTATATGAATTCAGCACAAACATTACTGTAAGATTCACATATTTTGATCTGTGAAACAAAAAGAAAGTATTCATCTGTTGAACAAAATTATTCATAAGAATTGGGAGAGAGTTGCATGTGACTCCACAGTAAATGTCTGTGTGTTTGGGATAAGGCTGGCGGTGAGCGTGACATGTTATGGTGCAGTTCACATCTGTGTGGGGGCATTTAGCATAGTTACACTTTTTCAGTTCTTTTTTCCAACCTTTCTGCCTTGTGTGTAACTCACCCTAAATGTAATCTTCCTATATGTAAGTAAAGTCACCGGTTATTAATGCCCTTAATGATTCACTGAGGTATGTTACCCAGATTTTACTTCTTGCATCACGGACTCCAGCTTTTCCACCATGCTCGGGTGGACGTCCGTGCCAGTTTCGTGCACGCGTGCGTCTCCCCTTGACTCACCCTCTGCTCCTGGGGGTGACTCTCCCGCCCTCGTCCAGCAGGTGGAGCTGCAGTGGGCCGACACGCTCTTCATGTTCGAGTACTTCAAGCCCAAAACGCTGCCGGAGTTCGACAGCTACAAGACGAGCACGGTGTCGGCAGACCTGTCCAACCTGCTGAAGCGCATATCTGGCATCGTGCCGCGTGGCGAAGGCCCCGCCCTCACCGTCGACGAGGTGTCTGCCTACATCGAGGGCAGCACGGACAAGGTTAGAGAGCACCCCCACACCTTACCACTGCCTTTCAACACTGACTCCTCCAGCCTGCCGGCAGTCAGTCCTCCTTGGGGTGGGGGGGCTTGAAGTTGGGTTTCTCCTACCTTGCCGGGTTACAGGACCCATTTAGATTTGCATGGTGCTGGCTGTCAGTGATTGAGATTCTGACCTCCCCCCCCCCCAAAATCCACCCCCCGCTCCCGTCCTCTCTTTGCACGGCATCATGGAGCCCCAAACAGCCCTGACACATCCCGTTCTGGTTGAGGGCGGCATGGGTGGGGGGTACAGGTGTCTCCCGTGGCTTATGACCCTAATCCCTGAGGGGGGAGGAGGGTGGCCAGCAGGTAAATAGGATTGAGGAGTAAAGGGGACAGGTTTGAGGTTGGACCCCCCACTCCCCCGGCGGGAGGAGGAGGAGCGGCAGAGGAGAGCAGATGGTGAGGGCCGTTCTCCCTGGGGAGTTTGTTCTGGGTCAGATCGCCATGGCGGCAGGCCAGGGGCCTGGCCGACGTGACCACCGCCCCATGAAGTGGCTGGCGTGCGATGAGACGAGCTTCCATCTCATCTGAGTTTGCGGATTTGCGTCCGGCTGTAAGCAGGCAGCAACGTGCGTTTTTATTAGGATAATCGCTGTTCCTCGTTACTGTCAGTATCATCCCATGTCCGTTCACCCATTTTGTAAGTGACTTGAGCAGAGCATCTCTGTTAGGGGTCTGACACAGCACCCTCCCCCCCCCCCCCAGAGTGTCAGATAGAATATCTATCTAAGGAGCTGGAACGTGTGCAGGATGGGTTCCGCCGACAGTTCCGATTCCCTCGTTCCTGTTAGAGCCGTGCGTGTGCGTCTGTCCCGGTTCCGGGGATGGGACGGGATTAGATTCTGCCTCTAGCTTGACAGCCCCCTACAGGGCCGGTATATTTTACCTTTTTTGAAACGGCAAACCTGCGAAATGCTTGGTTAAGGTTGTGTTTGGCCACGTGTGCTGGTGTCGGTGTGGCCGGCAGTAACCAACTGAGCCAGAAGCCAACGGCTCGTCGTCAGCGTTCCGCCGCTAAATGGAGTTTAAAGAGCCGTTTCATCGGTCGCTTGTTTCCTCGCCTTCGTCAGCCCTCGAAGTTCCAGAATCCGGCGTCGATCCAAAATAGCACGCGGCAGTTATTACGACATGTGGACTCCCGGTGCTTAGTGCAAATCGGTGACTTTGAGTGAATCTCTTAATCCTCTCCCCCCACCGCCCACCAGGTTCCGTGCCTCCCCGAGGGAGCTGCTCCGGCGCCCCCTCTGGTGAACGAGCTGTACTACCTCCTGGCTGACTATCACTTCAAGAACAAGGAGCAGTCCAAGGCCATAAAATTCTACATGCACGACATCTGCGTGTGCCCAAACAGGTTGGCAGTCCGGCTTCCCCTGATTGACGCTACCGTGATGAGCGGGAAGCTGGCCTGATATGATGGCTGTGCTGTACAGCTCAGGAAGAGGATTAGCATGTAACGCCATTTATACTGCGCTGCTATAGGGCTATAGCATGTAACGCCATTTATACTGCGCTGCTATAGGGCTATAGCATGTAACGCCATTTATACTGCGCTGCTATAGGGCTATAGCATGTAACTCCATTTATACTGTGCTGCTATAGGGCTATAGCATGTAACTCCATTTATACTGCGCTGCTATAGGGCTATAGCATGTAACTCTTAAGTAATTAGCATGTAGCAAATATTGAAAATATACAGCTGAGGACAAAATTAAGAGACCACTCTATATTATTAAACAAATACACATTTTAAAATCCTGGTTTAATCCTGGTTCTGCTGGCAGAAGGCTACACTGAGCAGCAGGATGCTTCCAGGTTCAAAATTTCTAAGACAGCAGTACATAAGAATAAGGTGAATCAGGAGACACTGGGAACAACCAAAAATGTGCCAAGTAGAGGGCAGAAGCATCTTTCTAATGCCAGAGATGATCGTTAACTTATCTGACAGTCTGAGAATCATGGGATGTCATCAAGTGACCTTCAAAAGGAGTGGGAAACATTAAGTGCAGGTGTGAAGTGCACTGCTAGGACTGCAAAAGAAATATATATGTTATTTGCAGATGGACACAAAATATTGTGCTGTGGTCTCATAATTTTTTCTCGAACTGTATGTGATGGTATGAGTAGCTTTTAAAAGTAAGTTTTTGCAAGGTCTGGGTATTTTTTATTGTAGTCAAACACTTATGAAATGTAGATCTTTATTCATTATCAAGTGATCATCCATCCATCCATCTGAATTTCCCTAACCTGTACATGGTAGCAGGGACCCTGAGACCTTCCCAAGGAAGCAGGGTGGGTCACCCAGGACTGGATCTTTATACTCTAGGAAGTTACACACTGACACAGGGAGAAGATGTAAATGAATACCCCCAGTATGGCTCCCCCATGTTTGACCCGTGGGCCGGTATGGTGCCCCCAGGTTTGACTCGTAGGCCGGTATGGCGCCCCCAGGTTTGCCGCGTGGGCCGGTATGGTGCCCCCAGGTTTGACCCGTGGGCCGGTATGGTGCCCCCAGGTTTGACCCGTGGGCCGGTATGGTGCCCCCAGGTTTGACTCGTGGGCCGGTATGGTGCCCCCAGGTTTGACTCGTGGGCCGGT